CTGCCATACACCCGCAAATAGCCATCGGTGCGTTGGCTGGAGAGGGGAGATAATGAGGGGCTAAGGGCTCCTCTAAGTGTATGATCGAATGAGGACTTGTGAGGGGTGGTACTGTTTGAGGGTAGCTGTACGGGAGGCATAGGAGGGAATATAATACTGGCATAGGTATCCTTGACCTGTAGGCAGAGAGGACCTGCATATCCTACATAGTCATAGACTCAGACAGGACAATAAAATGAATTAATAATAATAATATCCGCCTAAGCTCAAAAAACGGTCAAACCGAAACAGTACCACCGCAATTAAATTCTTTGTCGCACAAGCCAGGACATTTTAGACAGGCTTTGCAGAGAGGGGGCTCATTCTCAGCAGGTTCTGCAATATACTTGACTTTATCACGAATGGAAAGCTTCGAAATATTGTCGATCTAGATCTAATAGCCCCTCAAGGCAGATTACAGATATCCTATGGGGTAACCCAGCAAAAACAAATACCACCACGCTGCCACAAGCTGTACCTATTATGACGCTCTGTGTGAGTTCATAAGTCTATCATGTATATCAAGATAGCTATTAGATCCACAGATCTAAAATTGTGCCTCTATAGGCCAGTTGATACTGTGGTAAATCTATCTAACTACAGGTACATATCTTCGGCGTGAGGAATGTGGCACGTGTATCTTTCGTGTAGCCCGTGCGTCAAATCCATTCTCGTGCGAGCTCTAGAGCCGGAAAAAAATCCCATCGTCGCTGCCCTCAATAATTTTCCTTCCATAGATTTACAAAGTCTTGGGAAGGAGTAGATGATTTTTTTCAATGCAGAAGACGTCACAATACTTGGAATTGCCTTAACTCGCCGTGAAGCTGCAAAAGCGATCTAGCGAGAGGTCTATGCAGTGCCAGCATAGACTTGTGAGGGTGCCGTTTGTTTTGACGCTGATAAAGTCTAAGTGGTCTAGTTTCTCGCACCGAGAGCCAGGAGATGCGATCTTCCTGTCGGTTTATCACCCGTGTTAGGTAATTTGCTAGCACAAAGATCGGGTAAAATGGTTATTGATCAAAACGTATATCTATATCTCCATCTCTCTATCTATCTTTAATAATGAACGGAAGTAAACGCCACACTGACATCACTTGGCTAGTTTCCGTAAATTTCCCCCTTAGCCACTCTACCAACGCTAATCTTCGGGGGACTTTTCTCAACACCTGTCAGCGGTGTCCCCTACGAACCTCCAGCTCTCACTGTAGAGTCTGCAGAGCCGAGATTGAGTAATAAGGTCCTCACTTCGATGAGGATTTCCAATCGCTTTCGTCGTCTGTATCGTCTTCATCTCTCAACACATTCCCCTATCACCATTATCATGAAGCTAACCACGATCAGATCAGATGGTAGGGTCGGAGCTCTACTCATCACCAAACCTTGATCACGGAGGAAAAGCCATCCGATGAGTTTCCGGAGCGTACCCAGCACCCGATACGGAGATGGTGGATTGGATCAAGTCGGCCTCGACTGTTACAAAGAAGGGAGACATAGATGAATATGCGCACCTCATGTGGTCCCGGTGTCTAGGCCTCGCCTGGCTGGGGCTGCAGGTTTTTTGAGACTTTTTCCCGCGCACGCAGTTTCCATTGCTACCATTTTTATTTTTTTTGGGTAGAAGGTTCCGTGGAAAAGGTGGCTGAATTCCACGGGTAAATACTGAGCTGAATAGCTATTCATCAAGGGGAATATATCAATGATCTTTCAAGTAACAAAAGAGGATAGGAGCACTGTACAAGGTGTGGCCTGGGTCAGAGAGGAGCCCAATGTGCTAGATAGTCATAGACTCAAGTAGCACAATAAACACAAACACAAACACTCCACTCCAAGCCTCTTCCTAGTATTTGCTAGCCTTGGTATCCTATAAAATGCTTGGGTGGTCTGTGTTTTTTTTGTTTATCTATTGTCCTGTCTGAGTCTATGACTATGTAGGATATGCAGGTCCTCTCTGCCTACAGGTCAAGGATACCTATGCCAGTATTATATTCCCTCCTATGCCTCCCGTACAGCTACCCTCAAACAGTACCACTCCTCACAAGTCCTCATTCGATCATACACTTAGAGGAGCCCTTAGCCCCTCATTATCTCCCCTCTCCAGCCAACGCACCGATGGCTATTTGCGGGTGTATGGTAGCCGGGAAAACTCGCAAAAACCACTGGGTACGGGGCTCTCCTAATAGCGACATTAGGACTAAATCCGAAGACATAGTGCCCCTTCCGAAGCGTTCGAAGAGGTCGGCCAGCTGGGCGCTGCAGACTTGTGTGTACCTCGGGAAATTCACCCTCTGCCTTTCTAGCCTCCTTCCAACTCCTTCCCGAAGGTCGTGCTGAAATGTCAGAAAAGTCTTGACAGAGCGTGATTGCTGTATCGTAGCTTAGCCTAACTTCTTTTGTACCGTCCAGGGCGCTGGGGAGTGCCGTTGACTCATCGACAAAAGAAGCCCTCCTGGCTAATTAGCTGAAATCTTAGTCTTGGCGCCCACAAAAAATCCAAAGTTGAAAACCCCTCGAAAATGTCAGTCCCAGCATGGTCTTCAGAGACCCCTTTCCCCTCTCGCTCCACATCTCAGCCGCTTGTTCTCCCTCAAGTTGTTTGTCCCACTAGAGCAACAGTTCCCCGCAAGCCAAGACCCAGGCTTTGTATTTTTCGACTTGATGTCCTCCTTGCGGGTATAAATAGCGTCGTAAATATGTAGAGAGTGATGGCCGGTAATGAATGAGGCAAGCTCCTGTTTGCAATTGGGGTGATGCCTTTATCGGTCGTCGAGGCGAAGTGATATGTGGTTAGATCGGGGTTGAGGACTCAGAAGATAATGATGAGTGCTGCATGGTTGAGAAGTCGTCAAATGAAGATGTATTTGAGGTTGCTTTCGACTTCGATTCGGATGCGATTCTTCTTGGCTATCCCAGATATGCAGAGCATACTGAGCAATTACACCGGCACCACTGGAAGGTGAAGAATTCGTCTTTGCCGGCGCTTAGGCAGATACCTAAGCCTAACATTGAGTATTTGTGACGGCTGTTAAGCCTAAGGGTTCCTGTAGCCCACGCTGTCTAGCGCAGGCAATTATACGAAGGGAGGTTCCTGGGAAGATCTTGGATGACAGGGAACCTAGATGATTCACATTGAGCCTTGTTGAAACCTACTGAGAGTTCATGAGGGTTACAGAAGTATCAAGGATCTACAGGCGATTATCGGAGAGTCTGAGTTGACAGGTCATAGAGAGAACCTTATCGAGGAGGGGTATTTCAGTCTGTATATATAGGTAGTCATTAAGTACAGAAATTCTCTCTTCAGAGAATTATAATTAAAATATTGTACCTACAACATTGCTCATGCATTTTGTAATGAAACCGTGACAGTATTCTTACGATGAGGCTGTATGGGGGGAGATGAAGCTGAACGAAACGGCACTACCAGTCAGGAGGCTGAAGCGTTATTACAACTTAGTGACACCTAGAAATACGTGGCTGAGTAAGAAGGATTGTGCCTAAGGACAAGTCACTAGTCTGTAGATTCACGAGGAGGATCAACTCTTATAAATACCTGTTATTAGTAGCTACGGTTATCTTTTCTCCTCATATAGTTTATGAAATCAATTTATTCATCATCAACTCGGGTTCAGTCACAGATACACGTTGGCTCTGCTGATTTTGTAGGTGAACCTTGAGATCTCGCCTTGCAGATTGACTGTGTTTCGTTGTGCATTTAGCGGTAGTCGTCGAGGTAACTGTGACAGAAGTGTCACATTGGATATCCTGAATTTATTATAATATAGCTGATAGGTTAGCAGATCTAATTATGTGCTCTTTTGGTCAGTTGGCGCAAATGTAAAGCTATTTCAATATTTGCAGCCGCGCATGATTATTGATAATTGATCATGCGCTGTCACAGAAGCTTGCCGAGATTTATTTGACGTCAGGACTTTTCGAGCTTTTAGTTTAGAGATAGGATGGGAGCCAGTCTTAGTTAAGACCTGAGGCGTAATTGAAAGTAAATGGATGGAAATTTTATTTATTTCAAATTTTCGTGGTATGAATCTGAAACGAAATGATTTTATGAATCTCTATGTGCTGCTGTGAGAGGTAACAAAGAGTTTTAATTACTGTTGTTAATAAGACCTCCCTGACGAGCTATCTATTGAGATTAAAAGGACTCTGATATCTGGGTTTAAAAGGAAGGTCTAGTTCACATCGTTTTATCCTTCATAATTGCGTAAGCTTTTCTATACCGACGAACTCCGGGAACTAAGTAACGGGTTATATTTCAATAGTGATTAATAATTAGTCTGATCCAGATTGGACCCACTAATCTGAAATTCAACCAGGATTGTGAAAGACTCTGAATTTCTTAGATGCTGTAATTTTTATTATCTTATCTCGTCTGATGCATCATAGTAAATTATTGAGGTCTACACTGAGTCAAGAGCTTTACATGAATTTATGAGAATATTCCTGATGTCGAACATAACATTGATAAAAGGCTTAGGCTCAATTTGGTATAGTATTGAGTACATGTAATTTATTGAAAATATAGATGGAGGCAAGAGAAATGTGTTCATGTATTGATATGTGTTTCTCAAAGTCGTAAAGTTTAAGATTTAACCAAACATCTATTCAGACACATTTTTGAAGTCCCTCAAAATGTAACAGATTGTGACTGTCAAAGTTCATTTAGTAATTAAAACACTGAAAGATTGATGAAAATCTAATTTTTCCAGACAAAATCGATAATATGAAATTTTTGATTGTACATGGAATTTTTTTAGAGTACTACATATAATGCAATTATTTTGACAGTGTTGCAAAATGTAAAAAAACTTGCAGCTTTTATTGCCTATTGTGGAATTGTATCCAAATTTTAAAGTACATCGTAGGTATTACTGAAGAGCGTTATGCTGTAGAGCTAACAGGCTATACATACAACTCCTGGCCCTCAACGATGAGCAGGATTACCATCCTTAGCATAAGCTAGGTGGGGCAGCTATATGGCTCGAAGGCCTAACTTTCTTTCGATTTGTAAGGGATGTAACGTAAAATTTCTCAAGTCCCTGGAAAAGTTCTGCATCTCTTGGATGAGGTCTAATCACTTGGCCAGACATAAATTTCGAGCTCCCATGTCCCCATTCTACTATCCATTTACCTGTATTTACATCTTCAGAAATAGTTGACGTTAAGCTCCATATCTTACCATAGAGCCGACGCATACTTCTTGGACAACGTATTTTTTTTTCTCGCCAGTCTTGGCTCTGTGATTGAGCTACACTTGTATCATGTTTCATTTTCAACCCTTGGGATGTACATTCTATGCTATTGATCTGTAGCTCATCTATTTTTCTGAGGGGCGCTCTGAGCATTTGAATGAACTGTAACTCGTCTTTTTTGTCATTGCATTTGTAAAGTGGCTTTGCTGGTGATCGTTTAGGAGGTATAGCAGCAAGAGGTATTTTGCCATTGCTTAAACCCTTTAGTCGCTCAAATTCATCTCTCGGAAGAGGTGGCAGTATATTTTTCAAGGTACTAGCCCACCAGCACCTCTTGATAGACTCTACTCTTTTCAGAGGCAATGTTCGGCCCCAGATATTTTCTTCAGGTATTTTTGGTGTAGTAGTTTTTATCGTACCACGAACGTCTTTTTCTTGGTTTAGATGTTGGCTACAAAGAAATGAATTTAATTTGGGTCTTGCTAGTAGACCTTCTAAATGAAATTTCCCATCCCTATCTTCATTAAGCATTGCTTCTAAAGCAGTCGTATCTCCTGGAATTTCATCGGAATCGTCTTCGAGGAGTTGTTTTATCAATTCTCGCTTTCGTCGCCCAATTCTTCCATGGACAATCATGAGGACTTTACTCAAACATTGACGACCACCCTGTGCAGCACGTATCAAAACATTGAGCTTTTTTTGGCCTTTGGCTATTGCTCGATTAATTGATAATTCGGTGGTGGTAATATGAAGTCCCGTAGAACGCCATGGGTTTTTGTTGGCACGAGATTGCTGCTTATCAAGAGAATCACGAAACCGGAGAACTATATGCTTGTGGATGTATGCCCGTGCAAAATTATCTGGAAGATACGATGCAGCTCTTAGAAAACTTCGACAGAGGCTCCTACTCTTTGCGAGATGATCTTGCATGGAGTAGTGCTATTCGAAACTCCTTTACAGATGTTGTCACAGGGAAGACTGGTAAAAAGTACCCAATTATGTTATAGATATCAGTAACTCAATGCTTGGACGGACTGCTCACACAGGACGATATTTTCTTACTTTATCGATGGAATTTGGCGTAAAATGTTGGTTGTAGATATTTACAGAGTTGACTGTTAATTTTAAGAGCTTGGTAACTTTATTATCCCCCAATAGCTTAATTAGCATCAGTTGTGGAGTTAAATTTGTATTGCACCAGCCGAGAGTTAGTAGTGTATTCGTGTGGCGCATGGAAAACAATTCCGTAAATGAATTTTCTAAGTCTGTCTACTGGTATGCAAGCTGGTAGACACTAGAAGTGAAAATTCGATGCGGTGAGGCCTAAATTGCCGGCAAAGACAAATTATCCACTTTCTAGCGGTACTGGTTTAAACGCCCAGTATGCTCTGCATGTCTGGGATAGCCAAGGAGAATCGCATCCGAATTGAAGTCGAAAGCAAACACAAGCATATCTGTATTCGACTCCTACTATCAGCGACGGTCCTACTGCTATCATGAGTCCTCAAACTCTATCTTACCACGTCTCACCTCACCCCAACAACCGATCGAAGAGCTGCTTTAACTGTAAATGGGAGACTGCTTCATCAATCACCGACCACTTTTCACTATCAAATTACAACGATAAGTTTACACGCATGGAGGAGAATAAGTCGTGAGATACAAAGTTGGGATCTTGGTCTACGGGGAACTGTTGCTACAATGGGGCTTCACATCTGAAGGGAGCACAGGCATCTGAGATATGGAACGAGGGGGGGGGTTTCTATTAGGCATGACTGGATTGTTACTCTCAAGGGGTTCTCGGCTTTGGAGAATTTTAGGGCGCCAGAACCAGAGTCTTGCATGATTAGCCAGGAGGACTTCTATTGTTAATGAGTCAACGGCACTCCCCAGAGCCCTGGACGGCACAAGAAAAGCTGGGCTTAGCTACCATAAGGAATCACGCTCTGTCAAGACTTTTCTGATATTTCAGCATAACTTTCGGGAAAGAGTTGGATGATGGCTAGAAATGCAGACAGTGACTCTCTTAGATACACACAAGTCTGAAGCGCCCAGCTGGCCGGGCTTTTCGAACGCTTCGGAAGGGGCACTATGTCTTCGGATTTAGTCCTAATGTCGCTATTAGGAGAGCCCCGCACCCAGTGGTTTTTGCGAGTTTTCCCGGCTGCCATACACCCGCAAATAGCCATCGGTGCGTTGGCTGGAGAGGAGAGATAATGAGGGGCAAAGGGCTCCTCTAAGTGTATGATCGAATGAGGACTTGTGAGGGATGGTAATGTGTAAGGGGAGCTGTATTGGAGGCATAGGTATCCTTGGCCTGTAGGCAGATAGGACCTGCGCTTCCTATATGTTCATAGACTGAGAAAGATCAATGATACACATAAAAAGCTAGGATCCTATTATCAGGAAACTGGGGAACTTGTCCTGTAGCAGGTGAAGAATATTTACGGGTATCAACAACTCAGTAGAAACAACTTGATTCTTTTCTTCCGAACATCGGTCCCCAGAAGTTATCACTTCTCTATATGGACCGTGCGTTTAACTAGCTAATTTAAGGTAATCTATTATTGGACCCCATATATCCAAATGAGATCCAAACACCAAATAAACCTTAGATACTTCCTAATGTCTAACACCTATAGCTCAGTGTTCAAAAATTGACCGATGCATGGATACAGACTCTTCGAAGATCACAATTTATAGGTCAGTATTATTAAATAGCCTGTAGCAATCCGAAGGCAGCTAGCCATGCACTAAATCAACAGGTGCTAACTCGAAGTTCCGCCGAGTCCCGTCAAATAAAGAAATGACCAGCATACAGCTGTCAAAGGAATGAATAATTGCCGGGGAAGTACTGCCTCTGAATTTATCGGGTTTGAATCTTCAAGGAGTTTGGAGCCCAGATTGCTGATAAAGACCTCATCGGAAAATTATTAGTAAATGCATGATCGGGTTGAAATAGTTTCTTGGTATCATGTTCGCTACCGATTCTGCGCAGAAATGCCACGCCTTAACTACAATGCCAGCGGGGGTCCGCGAGTACGCTCGGTTAAGTGGGCGATTCTGTAGAAATGATGGGATAAGTGCTGATATATAAACCTACACATCTTTGTTGAAGCCTTTCACACACACTAGTGTGGTTGGATATCACGTCTATAATGAAGTTCTATTTCTTTCAGTTTGCTTGCCTGCTGTGGTCTGCGGGTAGAAGGTACGATGGTGACGTGAATCACAAAATGGCACTGTCCACCGGCATTAAAGTCCCTCTAATTATTTGAACTAGTTGACATTCACAAATTTAATCTACGGACGCTCTGTTGCATGACACTAGCAATATTGACTTCAGGACTACTCATAGTCAGAGAAGTTCCATGATGTCTGAGTTAGGGTGACAATGTCAGATTTTTGAAGTTTAAGATGACTGTCAAACTAACATCTGAGATTCAAAGAAGTCGGCAAAACCTAAGCGTGTGTATTTAGCTACTTTCGCTTATTAGTGAAAACGCATCTCCTGTGATATCTAGTTAAATTAGTATCTAGGTGGTGAAAAGGCCCAGGCAAATACCGAGCAACCCATTTGGCTGCTCAGTAAATAAATTAATTCCGAGGTTTTTCTTCTCAACAGCGGCTCCATTAAGGTTAACTAAATATGTTGAAGCTGGGTCACAATAGGCAAATTTGGCACGCACTTAGAGCTACTAGCTTATCTTGCAAATGCCATCAGTTATGTAAGATCATGTGACTTAGCCCATTTTGATCCAAACAGGGCATATTGAGTAAAGGAAGTCTATTTGTCATCGGTTGAATGTGTAGAAAATTATCTGATTAAGGATATATGGAATCCAGCAGATATTTCTAGGTTTACATCGAAAATATAATACACTGCCTGTCATGCACCAAGTTTCATCCGAGTTGTAGCAATTGATGATTTTTTATAATCAAGAATCGCTGAAAGCATCTGTCAACCCTGGGAGGCTGCGACAAACCATATAGACCCTCTACTACAGAAAGTTGTGATATTATCTATATTTCGTCCATGATAAATATTCCACCATAATAGTCTACGCCTATCTTTTCCGCCAGTATCAACCTTGTTCCTTTGAGCTTACTCATAAATAATTCAATCTACTTATATCTTCTCACCCCGTACGATAGATTCTGTTATTCACCAGAAATCAAAATATTAAAGCCATTATCAATGTCCTTTCAGGTTGATCAAGAGCCTCAAACAGATGAGCTTGTTACGCAATCACCGGGTACCTTCAAGCAAAATGACAGCGCAAATACATCTCATCACAATAATTCCCCTCCACAAATTTATTCGGTCTCTACCTCGAAACATCCTTGACGAGAGAAAGCGACAGCTAACATTCAAATTAGGCCGTATATTCAACCGTCGACGTCTACGAGATGGAGGTCAACGGTATAGCAGTGATGCGACGGCGCAAAGACAGTTGGCTCAACGCCACCCAGATACTCAAAGTAGCTGGTATAGATAAAGGAAAGCGCACAAAAGTACTCGAAAAAGAAATTCTTACAGGTGAACACGAAAAAGTTCAAGGAGGATACGGAAAATACCAAGGCACTTGGATTAAATTTGAAAAAGGACTAGATTTCTGCAGGCAATTTGGGGTCGAAGAACTTCTTAGGCCACTACTTACATATGACATGGGCCAAGACGGTGGAATTGCCGGAGGAGGAGTACTCGATACACCCACTAAAGAGCAGGCGATGGCTGCCCAACGCAAACGACAATACTACGCTAATATTGAAAATCGCCCTAATTCGCAGGTTGGTACACTTTTTAAGAATATTTCTAATTCAGCATCGCATGCAGTTGCAGCTATAACCAAAGCTCGCCTCGACTCTACCGTACCGAGAAGCAGAAATGGGAACAGCACACGTCGAACTAGTTTAACCAGATACTCATCCCAGGGCTCACCCTCATGGACCTCAGGAGAGATTGAACACAATACTCAAAGTAACTTATCTCCAGATCAAGTAGATAGAAGTCAAGAAATTCTAATCCAACCTTCGATATTCGGACAGACAAATTATGATGACGTAAATACCGAATTTGAAGAGCCACCTCGTAAGAGAATTCGATCTTCATTGAGTAAAAATGGCACACAAATATCCACTCAAGATGATCATCTCGGTATCTTAATTCAGCAGACTCCAAATACCGAGACCAATGGGTCTTCCACAGAATCCTCTCAAAATAAGCAGCAACAAAATGGCGTATGCTTACCCTTAGGACCTCTTGAAGTCCCTATTAATCCTCAAACGGAAGAGAAAAAAGAACATTTGATGTCGCTCTTCACAAACTATTCCCAGACCGATTTTAGTAGCCACAAGACACTCCAGACTTTTACCCCTGAGGAATTAGATATACCCATTGACGGGAGTAGAAACACTGCCTTAATTTGGGCAGCTACATTGGCGCGTGTGGAACTATTGAAAAATTTGAAAGCACACGGCGCAAATATTTTTCGTGTGAATTCATCTGGTGAAACCGCCTTGATGCGGTCGTGCTTAGTGACGAATAACCTCGATATGGGTAGTTTTCCCGAAATACTAGAGCTACTTAGTCCTACTATCGAGATTCGGGACTCCAAAGGTCGAACCGTTCTTCATCATATTGCTATCGCTTCTGCAGTCAAGGGACGTAGTCAGGCAAGTAAATATTACCTTGAGTCGCTTCTTGAGCTTGTCGTTCGCGCCAGCAGCTCTTATGGTAACCAACAGCACTCTATGGGTGAACGGCAAGGTCCCCAGATAATAAGCATTGGTCGTTTCATGTCAGATATCGTCAATATTCAGGATCAGTCTGGAGATACTGCCTTAATGATTGCCTCTAGGATCGGCAACAAAAGTATTATTTCACAGCTACTGGAAGTGGGCGCAGACATCTCCATACCGAATCATTCCTATCTGACTCCGGCTGATTTTTGCGTGGGCGATGGAGTACAATTCACGATTCAAGGCGAACATAAACCTAATAATATACCCAGGCCTGAACCGCGAGAGAGCAGTAAAGAAATTATCTCTTGTAAGTTTTAATCACGTTTTATAAGCTATTAGTTTAACCAAAACAGCCATTCTGAGTCTCTTGCAAGAGACAGAATCAGAGTTTGCCGCCGAGATAGAGAGGAAGCAATCTAACATCGATGAATTACATTCAAAATTGCGCGCCGAATCTGGGGCCTTAGGTCAGCGGCGCCGACTCTTTGAAAGCCTTCAGGCTGAAATGCATGAGAGTGACACTCGTAATCTCAAAATTGACAACCTAAGAAGAGCTTGTGATGAGGAACAATCTCTCTTATCACAGATACAACAGCTGCATAAAAATTCAGGGGTTGAAAATATAGACCAAATAGGTGATGCAGACAAATTCTTGGAAATACCAAGTGAAGCGGTCGATATACTTACCAAGATTGGTAAAAACGAACAGCCAACACTGGAGGTAGATCCGACAGAAAGAGAAAATCTTCTGGCAAAAATACCTACAGCAGAAGTCCTCAGAGCTCGCATAGATGCTTACAAAATTATCAACGAGGGGCTCGAACGTAACGTGCTGGATCTCCAGGGCAAGGACTCGGAATTGACTCGAAAGTACCGCAAAATAATAGCTCTTTGCACGGGTATGGACGAAGAACGAGTCGAAGAAAGTATTGCAGGTCTAGTACGCTCTCTTGAGAGCGAGCATGATGATGTAGAATTGTGCCGCGTGCGCGAGTTCTTGTCGAGAGTGGGAAGCGTATGAATGATTGATGCTTAGCGTGTAATTTACTCATGGTTGTGGAGTTTTTATTGAGGCTAGTGAGATACCACCGGTGGTGTTCATAGGTAGATTATAATCGCAAGCTGCTATATATCACCGGAAGCTCCGTTGATATCAGACAAGTACTCGCAGTGGGACTGAAATGTTTAATGGTCAGGCGTCCATAGACTGTTAGCGAAGCTAGGCGCATTTGATGGACGAGCCGAAATCAAAAAGGAGTTCCTGGGTCGCCTGGCAAACCTTTTAACCCTAGACACGCGTTACTGCTAGATCTATACCATCTATACTTCGCGATCTATCATTCAGCTATAGGATGCCCATTCCACCAAATAACTGCTTAAAACTCTGGATATCTACTTTAGTCGGTGCAAACATAGATTTCGCAAAATCTGATTTAGTCTTGCGGAATTTTTCGATTCAGATCTTGGCTTCCTCTTCACATGAATAGACAGTATAGGAGTTAGCAATGGAAGTGAGGAACCTGGACTGCGTAGGAATCAAATATTATCTGTGCGCTAGTATGACAAAGGCCATTACCACATAAGCGCGTAGAAACCTTCCAAATCACTTCATTTCGTATATTTGACATTTGATTAAATTTTAAAATTCTGGGTCTGGACTAGAATTAGCATGGTGTGCATCGATTATTTATAATTTCTCAGCACGGAACTCATCAACATGAACATTTCTAAGCTATCGTAAATTTTCATCGACAATCCAGCTTAATGTGAGATTATTTCCTAGAGAAGTCAAATGAGATCTACCACAGAGAAATTAAAAAAATAATTACTGAGGATCAATCTAGATTGGTACCTATTTCGCCAGGATTCAATTATTTATCGCAAGATTTGTGTCATCATTTTGAATATTATTCCTGGAAATGCTGTGAATTATCAAGGAGTCACAAACATCGAGTGATATTATGTTAGGTTTATTAAAACCGAATACATTCTCAACATCAGATGACACGATCGTCTTTCTTTTTATGAGTTTTCCTTGTCTAGAAGTAGATAATTTAGAATTCTTTCTAGTGCGGGGCGTGTATTGGCGTAGTATTTCCCGGGCGAGTAATGTCGGATTTCGCATTGGTATACTGGAATACCCATATGAAGCGGTGATTTGTTGTAGGAAAGAAGGTATATAGTAATGATAGTTTGCAAGAAGGTCTGAGACAGGTTGACGGAATAGTGGAGGAACTGTGACTATTGGTGGTCGTAGAAAACTTGCATCTGCGACGATAGCCTCTGAAAAAAATTTACGCCAATTATTTAACAAATATAATTTAATAGACTTTCGACAGTCGTATGTGTCTGGCTGCGCCTTTCGTTTTAGTCCATTCTCGCTGTCCCGAATAAAAAGCTCTAATGATTCTTTGGGCGTGTCGGACCAGGCATCTTTCGGTAGGCATAAGAATTTCTCCTGCTCAGTAAAAGCAACATATTTATTTGTATACGAATTAAAGGATCGTCTCTTATACTTTATTCCGGTGGAATTTTGCATATCGAGAGTTTCTCTCGCAAGACAGTCTAATATTTTAGATGAGAAATAGGCACCATTATTCCTATCTTCTAATGTTTCAGTCGGGCTTTGCGCGTTCGTATCCGGCTGGGAAAAATTTTCCGTATATTTATTTAGTTTATCATTATTCGCTGCCCTTTGCGACGGCCAGATATCACTTTTCCTTTCCTTTAGATCTAGTACCCACTCATCACAGTCCCAATCGACCCAGTAGTCGATAATATTAGCCCAAATACTCTCGGGTGGCCCTGTCTTGTTGACAAATACAACTTTACCTCCCTTACTATGCACTGCCTTAGCGAATTCCTTGACAATGACCTTGAGCCCATGAACCCTGAGACTAGTTCCCATGACTAAAAGAATGTCCGGGCATAGTTTTAGGTCGTGTGTGACGAGGGGAGATATTAAAGATGAATTTGGATGCTCTTCCCCATAAAGAACTATGTCGGGCCTTAGACGCCCGACTGTGAGGGCCCGTCGTCCGGTGTCTTTTCTCTTTGAGCTGTTAGCTATACAATGGGGGCAGTCCGGAGCAGAGCCGATAGATATTATAGCACTTCGGCCATCCTCGTCCCAATTACAGAGCTGAGAACAAAGTCCACATCGAAGGGCACTTAGAGAGCCATGTAGTAGAACAGTTTCAACTCCTCTGAAATGATCTGAACCTCGAGAAAAGTTTTCATTAGGAATTGATTGCTTTTTTCTTGAGCTGAATCTTGCCCGATTTCCGGGTCCTAAATTGAGATCCGTAGAGAGGCCTTCTTTTTCTTCCAGACAATCAATATTTTGTGTATAAGTACGAACAAGGCGACCACTGTCACGAAGTTGCCTGAGAAAATGATGTGTTTCCGAAGTTGATTTGATTGATTTTATTCTTTCTCGGAAGCTAGAAATAAACATGTAGAATATCGACGTTTTGAAAGGGTCCAACCATATCATGGCATCGAAAAGATCACGACCTTTGAGCTTTAGAGAGTTTGGAATTACTAATGGTGATAAGCATGATTTGGATTTGTGTCTGGAGATTGATTCAGACATGGTATTGTGTTGGGCTTTCGATTCCAAAGTTTGTGACATATTTTTATGAGCACAAAGTTTTTTTTTACGCTTCTTTGCTTTGGTTATTTGTGACTGGCCAGGCCTAATGTTTGCCTGGAGTGGTGAAGACTCATTAAGATTTGTACAATTCGTACATCCACTGTGCGATATCAAAGAAAGTTTAGGCGGTGCGCTATCATTCTCTTTGATCGCTGTTTTCTTTGAAGGGTTAGAGTTACTCGCTCTGGAACAAACTGTGCACAACAATTTTGATGCTGCAGAACTCTTTCGTGACAGATCTTGTCTCCTGTGAGCATTAGAGTTTGATACTGACTCATGTGAATGAGAACTGGATAAGTGACACTTGTTCTTAGGTTGGTTTGAAGGGGCGCCCGAAACAAGTGAATCAGTTGATTCTGAAAAGATGTAATGCGATCCGGCAATTTCCAAGGAACGTGGTTTTGCAACATCCTCATCAATAATATCAACGACACTCCCATCAGGTGCTACAACTTCGTAATACCATTGTCTTCTTTTTTTTCTGGGTCGATCTTCAGTACGTGGGGTTTTGAGTTCATTTGGCGATGAATTTTTCATGGCAGAATCAAATTGAGCTTGTATTAGAGAGTATAAGCCATCCTCTGAGCGGAAGTCCTGTTCATAAATAAGAATAGACATAACTACTAGGATTTGGCACTGATAGACATACTGGTATACCACAATTAGTACTTATCCCTGCTCCTGTCAAGACAACAACTTTTCGAGATTTAGCCAGGGTATCTGCTATCTGTTGCAGCTCGAAAGAAGAGTTTAGGCCAACTCTAGTTATAGGCATATTCTTTGAAAATCGGGTCCTTTGTTCAAAATTATTATCGTAGATAAATTGCAAGTTTTTGATCACTATGTTCTAGCGATAGTTATATGCAAAATTGATACCTCCACATAATGTAAAATATCTTCAAGTTTCGGAGCAACAGGTGACTTGATATAAGATGAACAAAAGTTTTCTCTATTTTTTTGAGGCTGTAACTATATTCCGGAATTCATGTATATATAGTGATCGTGAGATACCAAAAAAGGGCATTCGATGAGTTATTTACGCGATACTATCAATAAACATCTTTCATGTTTAAGTAATAATAACTTATCGACAAACCAATTTGCCTTGTTGTTTGAATGTTTGAATTTAGATTCTGTGAGTAAATAATGATTAATACAGCTGGAGATGTGAGTGTAGCTTTAATTGTTTCAATTCGGACGGCGTTGTAATTAAACGCGTCAATATATTCTCCTGCACGGTCCGTGCATATTTGCATATCTTCGTTTGTTTATTTTAAATCCATTGTGCCAATCTAATGCAATCTTTCGTGCTCCTTAATTTCATAACACGGATGGGACTACGTTGGATCAGGATAACTAACTAGATATTGCATCACCAAGCCAGCAGAACTATCATGCCACCGAATAAGTCTACTGCTGTTGAATTATGCATATTTCGACCGTCTAGGGTACGCGAAGCACACGCGTTTGAGAGCAGCTGCGGCTTCATGCTCGGAAAGCATGTGACTGCGCCCATGTCTTCCCATTTTCCTCCACCAACAAAAGTACGATACAGCAGAGGCAGGTTACTGCATTTATCGCGGCACAAAACATGTGATTGATCAAGGCTCTATTCCTCTAGGTCAATCAGCAGAAGTATATGATGCAGAAGTCGTCGGGGCCATGGAAGGCCTCGCAGCTGCAATTAGAAACCCAATGGCATACTACGCCACCAAAATCACTGTCAGTCTCGACAACCAAGATGCAGCGTCTCGCTTACTCCTTGAACCGCCGACCCCATCCAGCTCGACTCGGATCGCAAAATTTTGGGATCTCGCAAGATCCTGGCCTTCAAGGAACCGTGCCAGATACACTGAGCCAGGAAGAGTCTCTGTACGCTGGTGCCCAGGGCATTCAGGAATCCCTGGAAATGAAAAGGCAGATGCTCTCGCAAAAGCGGCCTGTATCATAACCGCGCCCAACCTGGCCCCTTCCATTGTCAGAGCAAGGAGAATTGTCAATCTTCGCTACGAGGCCTCTGCGTCGGAATACTGGTCACGAAATGCCCCTGGCCGGTACAGAGCGCTCGGAATCGGGCCAAGCTCCCGCATCACCCCAGAGCTCGCTAGTATGGATCGCCGGTCCCTCGGCCTTCTTCTCGCTGCGCGGTCTGGCCATGGTGATTTTGCAGCATACCACCGTCGTTTCGCACACAACAGCTCAACTTTAACATGTTCCTGTGGACAAGAAAAATCGCCGGAGCATTTCATGACCTGTCAACATGGCCTACTACAGGCACGGCTTCTTGGAGCCAATCGCCCCCGTCCCCCAGACGCTCGCTGGATTTTAAGCTCACCAGAAGGAGCCGTCTTGTTGCGAGACTGGCTTGTGTCCACTCAATTTTTTCGAAGAGTTTCAAAGGTACCATTAATGGGGGAAGCTCTATTTGCACCTACATTTGTAGGACAACCCTGATGACTTGGACACCAACGCTGTCTAAATACGAACATCTACATGTAGTTTAATATTCGCTTTTAATGATATAATTTATATCAATTTAAGAAGAGTCTCACTGATCTGGCGACCATGCAGACCGGGAGCAGTGGGGTCTTTATCGGGTTTTTGTTATGGGAATGCCGGTGCGTCTGGTAGCCCTTCATAGGCTGAGCTAACCGGCATGAGGCTTCAAAGCACTGTTTGTTTTTTGTTTTGTTTTGTTTATTTTGTCCTAAGCTAAAGCTATTTTTTCCACATTGGGTCAAAGACAGGTGGAGCCAGTAAGGATCACTGTATACAGGCCCAACTCATTCCAACCGCGTGAACTTCCACATAAATGGTGGTGTTGACAGCAAAATAAAAATCAAAACCAAAAATCAAATTTAGAAGAAATCCCTGTAGGTCCGGATCCCGCGCTTCTCGCCCGTTCCCTTTCCTGTCACATCTTCCAAGTGACCCTTTCTGACCCTCGCTGAGAGCAGAAGATGAGCTCGCAGGCACCCTTTTTCCATCTGGTGTTCTACTGTTAGTATGTTGAAGCCTCGACGACTTCACTGAGGCTGGCCGCAACCTTAAACCTCCCCTTCGGATTCCAGAACCCCAAAACCCGATCCGTCCGACATAAAGACGTCATTCTTTGAGCCGTGCATCGCCTGAATGGCTATTTCGGCTGCAGCTTTAATTCGAGCATAATCGGCGTAATTTTTCTGCTCGGCTTTGCGAATTAACGCAAGCTGCTCTTTTTTCGCCGGGCCGAACTTGCTGGGTCTGGCTTTGCAGAATCGTGAGTCCGATCGATGAGGTCCACTATAGTTTCGGCACTGTGTGGGGGCTTTGCACTCCGTTCCGAGTGCATTTTTGATCCGCAGTTCCAGCAAGCCGGAGCGCGGGAGCAATCGTGTGAGGCATGGAAGCCAAGACATCGTTTGCACTGAACTATATTTTGACAAGGTTGGAAGAGCTTTGCAGCTCCAGAGTCATCGAAGAGGCGAAATCCAGGTCGGGGCGTGGATTCGCGAGAGAAGAGCGCATGCCAGTTCTGGTATGGCGCCCCAGGTTTGTTAGTCCTGTGAGGACGAACAAGAAAAGGAACTGATTTGGTCACTCGCCTGACTTCATCGGCAACCATCTTTGCCGTCACGGCGATGGGGCCATCGAGGGTTTAAATTGTCTCCGGGACGGTGGCAATTTGCATGGCAACCAGATTTGATGCTGGTTCCAATTTGATTACAGATTCGCTCCGTGACACAGAGGAATCTAGGAGCTCTTTCCGAGCGAGTTCATTCTTTGCTGTCAATGCAAAGCCTGTTTTGACCCGCTGAACCAACGTGATGTCGTCGGCAGCGGTACCAAGCACCTGTGACACAGCTGATCTTACGCCAGCTGGTGACAGGATTCGGTGAGGGTGGTTAAATTTGAGGCGTAAAAAAGTCTCGCTTCGACTTTTGTCCTCGGATTGTCACTTTTTGCTTTTGGAGCAGGCGGTGCTGCCTTTGTAGTCGACGGCCCGGCGCTGCGGCCTAGACCTGCACGGGCTACTGTGGCCCAAGTTGTCTTTTGGGCCGGAGCCTGGGTTGTCGTAGGGTTAGGTACCCTAATTTCATGAGCCCTCGGCGGAGGAGGGTTGCTGGGGCGCACAGGGAGAGCTGGTGGGGTGCTCCCTGGGCCTGATTGCAAGAACTGGCCAATAGCCGCTCGAAGGTAGACTTTGATACCGTCTACAAACTCTTTTTCGTCGCCAATCGAGAGAGGCGAAAGTGCTGCTTCAACACTGCTTATTGCGGTGGAACAGATTGATAGACGTGCTTTTATTTGCGTCGTGCGACGCTTCTCGGCTTCCATCACTGATTGCAGCTCCAGAGGATATTCCGGTGCTGATGTCGAAGCTGTGCCTTTTGGAGTTGGCACAGTGAATTTTCTTGCAGAAGTTTCTGCTTGTTCTGTCGTTTTCTCTCGGACGACTTCCTTTCCTTTCCTTGAGGTGCTCGCCTGAGGCAAGCTCGATGGGAATTTTGGCCTCGGGACCAATTTTTGCTGACCTGACTGGCTCAGAATCAGTCATCTCTTCGTCGGGAAGGTTTGGAGACTTCCCTTCGATGAGGGCCTCACTCGCAGACATGCTTGAAAGTTTTTGAGCGAGGCCTGGTGTTTTTGCGGGAGCCCTCGGGCGGACTCTCGCGTTGTCCAACATTACGTTGGGGAGCTTTTTTCGAACAGGTGGCATGGTGAAAATGCCAGTGACTCGATCACAATTTTTTGATAGAATGCGACGAGCGTGAGAGGGGGAAAAGGTGAAGATTCGAAAATTCGAATTTCAAAAAATTGTTTGTGTTGTGAGCTAGCACGACGATAATATAAATAAATAAATTAAAAGTACGATACGATCATCGATCACATACGCAAGCACGTCAACTTTTCATACACATCAGTATCAAATTCTTCACCTGATCTACATCCGAAATACGACATACAAACATGCCGCCCGGGAGGCAAAAAAACTCCATCACACTGTCTCAGGGACCAACCTCCCGCATACCCACCCGCGCCTCTAAACGCGTAAAGAAAGGCTCCTCACTCTTAACTGCCCGTGAAGAAGCATCGATAGCGGCTCTACAGGAAAAACTACCTGAAATACAAGAAGAAAATATGAGCATGGACTCCGCAGACGAGCTCATGCCAGAGTACTCTGACGAAGAAAGCTCACACTCTGACTTAGACTATGCCCTCGCTCCCCAAACCCGGGCTTCAAAAGCTAACAGCGACGCCTCCTCAAAGGTCCCTAAGCCACCCCAAGCAAGACAAGGGCTTGCGCATTCAATACAAGCCTCTCCTCATGAGGCCTGTAATCTTAACAACATAGCGGAGACGAAAATTCCGCTTTTAAGAGTGATCCAATCCCCATCAACGGCAGAAACTTATGAAGTCGCAACTGCACTTCTGGCCTTGCAGAATGCGGGGCTTGAATATCTTCGCTTTCTACCCCCTGCCATCGCAGCAGACCTAAGAGCGGTCGTTACGCGTAGTGCTGTTCGAGTTATAGCAGGGCTCCCTGTTTTTGAAAACGTGCCTACAAGCCTACAACCGACAACTCAGTCACAACCCAAGGCAATGATAACCCGAGAACCACCCATCTCAAAAGCCACAAAGCTTATATACGCCAATGTAGCAAAGGCCAGCGCACCAGGGCAAGCCCTAAATCCTGGTCCGTCAGCGAAAAATCTACCTAAAAAGGCAAGAAACCGAGCAAAATTTCCGAAGACTGACAACAGGGTAATTATTCGCCTCCCTATTGACCACCCT